ATTTTAAGTATTAGCATACTGTTAGGAACAAGTACTTTATTGGTGGCGAATACGCTAGAAGAATAGATAGCTAATAATAACCAAAGTTAGTGGCAATTGCGCCTCAGTGGCCACTGGTTCATATTTTTGTGGGTTGTGCTCTTGCTTCGCTCACAAGCTTCATGAAATTTAGTTTTGGTAATAAGGTCTTTCCGGGTGGAAACGACTTTAAAACGCGTCACAGGGGTCTAAGGCCTGTTTACTTATATACCCAGCATTTTGCCCCACCACTGTTCAAGGTTACACGCGGAGTGACTCTAATACCATATGTAACAACCCAACCCACTAATAATATTGTCCGCTTTGGTCCTAGGCCCGCATGGCTTTAAAACGCGTCATTAGGGTGTAAGGCCTGTTTACTTACAGTCAATTAAGAGGTTACATGTATAAGTGTCAATTGGGGTCATATGAGACTCGCTTATTTGGTTCTCAGGAGCTTCGGTATAATTGGATGTATTGAATGAGTTTAATCACCGTTGTAACTTCTAGTGACAAACTTTTCTTTGACGTTGTAGTGGCTCGTCATGTTTCAATATCTCATGGATGTGCTGCTGGTGCCGGTGTTCTCATATAAAGATGCCAGACTGCTGTAAATGTAATATATGTAACTGCTGCTCATCTGTCAGTTGCTGTTGCTCAATACCTAAGTGTCAATGTTTCTCGTGTCCGCCGTCTAATTGCTGCAGCAAGCCTGTCTGCTGCAAATGGAGTTGCTGTTGCAGCTGTAGCTTTAAATGGCCTTCTTGCTTAAGCTGCTCTTGTAGCCCATGTACATGTTCTTACCCTAAATGTCCAAAGTTAAATTGTAGTTCTTGTTGTAAAAAGTCATGTTTCTGCCCTTGCTACCTTTGTTGCTAGTTGTACTATTAAATCATGCAATAATTCCTATATAAAAGCTTGGTTCTATATAATTGTGAATATCTTTGTTGTTGGCACCTCAGTGCTCTCAAAATAGAAATAATAATTGTTGACTTTTTTTTTTTTATTTTTCCTTTCCTAAAACAAGTACTTAAAGTGTAAAATTCAGTTGCTACATAAATGTTGCCTTTTGGTTATGCAACTGCTGCACCTTTTCCAATTAGCTCATCAAGGTCAGTAAGGATCCAAAACATACCTGAACTCTTAGGGCTCGTTTGGTCTGAAGATAAATTATTCTGGGATTAGTTATGCTGGAATTAATTGTCCTGGTATTATATTTTATTGATTGTTTTGTATGTTGTATTAATCTTGGAATTGTCAGTTTTACTGTTTTATCTTGGGATAACTTATCCTTGGATTACTATTCCATCCTCTGGTTGGTATAAGTTATTTCCGGTACTATTTTTAATCCTCGGTTAACTTATCCCAGGATTAATAATCAAATAAAGGATAAGGCAGTACTAAATTTTTATCGCAAAATTATTTTTGCTTATGCATCATACCAAACGACCCCTTAGTCTTTATGCTGACTAGGCCCTGAAAATTCCTCCCTTTCAAGTGGTAGTGAATAATGGATCAAATTCCTAGATCATGGTGCAAATGTAAAAGGAATTTTTACCTCCTATAGCAAAGGTCAACACCTTATTTATTTTAAATAAATACCATTTAAATAAATTATATTCTATAGATACCTTTTAAGGTTTATAGCAAAATATTTAATTTTGGTTACCTCCTAGCCCTAAGCTACTAAATACGCTAATCAGCAATATTTTCTTTCTCTCTCTACTTTGATACATCCCATTCTCTTCCCCCATCCCATTAAAATCTTCGATTTTCTTCCTCTTCTCTGTCTAGCCAACGATTCTTTCCCTTTCATAAAACAACCAAATTCCTTACGAAATATTCGAAGACCAAGAGGAGTAAACAAAGTTTTTCAACTGAAGCTGTTCAAGCCTCAGTTGGTTATCTTTCTGCGTTGATTTGGGAATACAAAAGTGAGGCAAGGCAAGGAAAACCCTACATCTGAACTTGAATTAGAATTGAAAGGCTTAAGGCTAGGGCACAAATGAGTAGAAATAGCGATTTTCTCCATTTTGGAGTAGAAATTGAGAGGAAAAGAGGGAATCTAGGGAAAAAGGGACCTTTTCTTTTTTGGGTTCTTGATTTGGTTCTACTTATCCTCCAGCTCGACGAGACGACATTAGGGTTGTTCTTGAACAAAGACGACGGAGTTTGGGGCTGAGCAACTTGAATTTTCTGTTAATATATTGCGATGTATTTCAATGTATCTTGCTGTATTTCCATGTATTTCACTATATTTATTGTCTTTTTTTCATTGTATTTCAATGTATCCCGCTGTATTCTATGTATTTCATTGTATTCACTATCTGCTATATGCCATGAATGTATTCATAAGTTTTTTTTAATTAATATAATTTATGTATTCAGATGTATTATATAATTTCTCTGAAGATAGCTATGTTTTTGGGGTATTTTTCGGTTGAGAATCTTTTTTATAACTGAAAATACAAAATTTGTGTGTTATAATTGAGTTTGTTGAGTCATATTAGGAGTCTATTATGTTAATTGATTCACTTTCCGTTTTAAAAACAATGTAATCCCCTATTTCACGCCGTGAATACAGTCGAATACAATAAATCTGTCCAGCTGTAATCCCATGTTTCACTCCATGAATACAGTCGAATACACTCGAATAAAACAACTGATTAGTTGGACTTCTCTGATTCACGCCTATTTTTGCTACTGTATTCATGAATACAATAGGTTAAATACATCAAATACATCTTATAACCACAGAAAAGGTATCTATAATCCGTAATATAGCAAATGGTATCTATAAATGGCTAATTACTACTAAAAGATGGTGCTTTATGAAAATTTCTCAATGTAAAAAGGTTAGTAGTATTGTTCATTTTGGCCCAACAAGTCTCACATATTTGGTCCTTATGGTATGCCATATCGAGCCTAAAAATGTGTATACAATGTGAATTTGTGTTATTGCCTTATAAAGCATTTTCACTTTCTTCTTTCATTTGGACGTGGGATTCACTTAGAGTATGTTTGGAATGCTACCTTAGAAATGGATTTGGGTGTAATTGGGTGTAATTACACAGTTTGACATGTTTGTTTGGTTAAGTAATTACTTGGTCAGCATGGAATTGGGTGTAATTTGAGGGGTGTAATTACACTCTCCAATTCTCAAGGGGGAGGTGAGAATTGGTGGTAATTACACTGTGTAATTACAAGGTTGCTTTATAGTNGACATATTTATTTATATACCAAGCATTTCTCTCGTGTTTTGTCGATGTGAGATTCGCTTAAGGTATCACTTACACCCCCTTGAGACTCAATGATGTGGACTCAGCGTCCTTCCTGAGGTTTGACCCACCACTGCTCAAGGTTGCACGCGTAGTAGCTCGAGGTTTGTCCCACCATCGCTCAAGGTTGCACGCGTAGTGGCTCTGATACCATATGTAAGAGTCCAGCCAGCTAGTGATATATTTTGAAACTACACCTCCTAATATTAAAAATAATGAGTCATTAATAACTTGGCATATAATGAATGATGCAATTAAAATGGAATTCCGTTGTTGAATTTGGTTATAAACTTATCATGTTTCCTAATCTTAAGTTGCAGTGAGACTTACTATTATTACGTTGGAATTTGACATATGTTAAACTATTTTTTTTTAATTATGAAATTGTGTTATATTAATGGTTCCAATTTACTTGTTTTAGTAGTATTGGTTCATATTGTATGTTGTTCATTTTTTAGTTAGAATTTGTCAAACATTTGAATAATGTTATGACACTATATTTATAAATATTAATTTATTTTATCAATCATGAATTCCATGATGTTCTTACAAAACGTATATTTAATTTTTGTAAGTATCTAAACTAAATATTATTAATTTAAAAAAAACTAAATATATATATATATATATATATATATATATATATATATATATATATATATAAATTATTTTCTAAATGTATATTCACGAAAAAATATACATTTTAAATATCAAATATAATATCATTTATACTTGTAAAAATTTATATGCTTTATTATATGTATTTGTAAGTTTTGATAATTACTTAATTTAAAATTTAATCTAACTGTGTAATTATACTTGTGCAACCAAACAGTAAACTTGTAATTACACTGTAATTATACTATGACAAACAAACAGGTTATTGTAATTGCACAACTGTGTAATTACTAGGCTGTGTAAATACTACCCAAGTAATTAATTCCAATTATAGGGTGGCTTTCCAAACAGACTCTTAAGGTGTTACATGCATCTTTCTCCATCATGAACATTACGTTATACCCGCTTAAGTTCTCCCTTTATGCTAAAACATTTCGAGAAATGAGTTAGTTTTACTTGTTCATCTTCATTTAATCAGTTGCATGTCTTGTCCATCCGTAGTTATGATCCCAAGGCCCATAAACCTATTGTAGAAATATTCAAAATAAAAATCACACAACATAATCTTAACGATAATATGGTATGATCGCGTAGACAAGGCGTTTCTAGAAAACTATCTCTAGAATAGTAATTTTCCTCACACGGTGCAATTGGTTAATGACCCCACCTGTGAGATTATACTGGGCATGTTGTAGTTTGATGTAAATGGTTAAGGAGAAAGCTTATCCCAGGATACAATGTCTACTCTGGAAATCGAAGTTGTACGCTTTGAATTCTTCTACGAGAACTCAACCCAATTGGAATAAGAATATTTAGAAGTTGGTACATATATATATATATATATATATATATATATATATATATATATATATATATATATATATACTAGTTTCTGAACACGTGGTCACTCAACTTTTAATGGGTAAATCTATAAATTAACTTTGACTTAAGGTGTTCTCTCACACACACACATATATATATATATATATGTTCGAAGGTTCACTTATGTTTCACTGATTTTTTTCCATTACATTAACTTCTTTGGAAGGTCAAAGAGCAGTTAAGAAAAACCATCAGTTTCAGTAATTAATTTACCAACTGCAAAAGTATCTGTTAAATTAGAAAACCACACTTATTTTACATCACAGACAGAGATAACAGGGCTATAATTGCATTGCATAACTTTACTTAGAAAAGAAAATCTAAACTTTGGAGAAACTTCATCCTCCCTATCACTCAATTACTAAAAATACTTCCATTTGCAGATCTGATTACCACAATTTCGTTGGTAAATCAAAGGGAAAAACCATAAAAACATTAGATTAAAGGTGAAAAACCTTTCAGTCTAATAGTTGTGACCAGGAATATGAAACTGGACTCCTAACTTGGTTTTGAGCATTATTCCAAGAAATGGAACCAAATGCACTCTTTCTCATCATGTCAACACCCTTCTTAGACACGAATGTAACGGTGTAACGCAGCCTCTCTCCTACCCTTTTGAATACAAGTTTTGATGGCTTCACGGTTACAGTAACAGACGGGGGAGCATCAATGGTTACCTCATAGACGGATCCTGCAGCTCCCACGTTGGTCACTGCACGGGTGTAACGAACAACCCTTGATTTCCCAAACAAAACTGAGAATGAAGGGTAGTTAATCTGCCCGGGATCAGCAAATTTCTTAGCACAAGTGACATTCGGGCGCTTGACAATGGCTTGTATGTGGTTCAACTCATAGTCTAAGGAGCATAAGAATTTGATGTAGTCCTCCGGGGTAATATCATAGATTAGACCGGGAGAAAGTGCCTTGTGGGGATCAACATGACCTGATCCATGAGCGAAAGGAGTGGAGAGTTGGCCACCTTCAGCGTCACGGAGAGGGGAGTTGGTTGTGTCGCGAACATAGGCAGTCGTCATAAGTGCAGATTTGATCGCGCTTGGACTCCATTCTGGATGCGCTGCTTTCAACAATGCAGCTAGCCCACTGATATGAGGACAGGACATGGATGTGCCTACAAGAGTTCGAAGTGAAAAATGATCAAATAATGTAACAAAATACAATTTTCAAAGTATGAGATTTGTGTCGGATTTTCAAGAAAAATTCAATATCTTGCTATTGTTATTGCTGGTTTCTACTGCTTTGTTTCATATCTTTCCTAAGCCGAAGGTCTATCGGAAACATTCTTTTTACCAAGATAGGGGTAACGTCTGTGTACACACTACCGCCCCCAGACCCCACTTGTGGGATCACACCGGGTGTGTTGTTGTTGTTGTTGTTGTTTCAAGAAAACTCAAAAAGTTCATGAACTTATTTCCAGCCAATAAAGTGATTAAGGTAGGTCCAGAGTGCTCAGATGGGGCAAAGGGTTGATGTTAAATCCATGATAAGGTTATGACCTTTTGTAGTTATGTAGGGACCAACAATCTGGGATTCCTAGGGGACCAGAACCCACTAGTGGAAGACAGACCATACTACTTTTCCTAGGTAGTCTCTTAAATTATTTTAAAAACGGGTCAAATATAGATAAGAATCATATTATCCATTTAGAAAATGAATAACCAATGAGTAACTAATCGATAACCAATGGGTCTAAGTTTTACATTTGTAAGCCTCAAATTGGGGCTTCCTGAAGTTAGGTAGACCAAGAATTCTCCCTAAAGTGATCATATACGAGAAGTCATGGATAATATGGTTACCCATTATCAGCCGGTTAACCCGTTATACGTACTAATATGGATCGGATCGGATCGGATAATTGATCCGTTTTAATTACCCGTTTTCAACCGGAATCATATCCGACCTGACCCGACCCGCCCGTTTGTCACTCCTACCTTGCACATTCCAAGGGATGAATTTCACGCTATTGGCTTATCTATAAAAATAACTTCACATAATGGTCTATAATAAGTGAAATTAGTGACTTGTTACGATAAATTACAATATATTGTTTTCAAATACCATTAGCCTATATTATTGAAATTAATTAATAAATTCATCTCTAGACCTTGTTCATATCGAAACTCCTAACACTCCTACAGCGAGCCCCTCTTAGATTTCTTCTGTGCCTTTCTTGCTATTTTAGCCATAAATTTGATATAGGCTTGGGCACTTGTTTTATTTCATTCACACGTCACATCATACAAATAAGTCTAAATTTTAGTCAATTTTTTTATTGGAAATTGCATTAATACTATTTAATTATAACTAATGTAATTTAGGATTAACTTATCAATGCTACACATGTGAACCCCTCTAAACTTTAGGCATGTGGTCCAGATCACTACGCACCAATTAACCATGTTCCTCTTTTTCCTTTTAAGTGTGTACGATTAGTATTAATAATTGCGAGATCTAATAAATATATAATTAAGGCCATAATTAATCTAAACATTAAAAAAAAAAATTATGACAAAAACTAGCCGTTGTTGGTAATACTTACCAGACATGATGTTGAACTTAGTCCTTCTGGTATCCTTTTCAAGCCCAGTGGGCCCAATAGCCTCAGACCAAGCAGCCAAAATATTGACTCCAGGCCCAATAACATCGGGCTTCAAAATCTGTGGAGTTACAGTATTGGGCCCTCTTGAACTAAACGCAGCCACCACCGGCGACGGTTTCACATTCACCACCGTCCCACCAAAGCTGAGCACGGCGGCCGGATTCTTTTCACTCTTTACATACTGCCTTATAAAATCTCCCAATTTCCTACCGACAGCTACCGCCGGTAACAAATGACTATCCGCCACCAATTCCTCGCCGCTCTCCGCCGTATTCGCTATTATCATCCCAACTCCACCAGCTTCCTTCACTACTAAACCCTTTTCTACTCTCGCATTTGTTCCTCTATCACACAACACTATTTTCCCTCGGACCATTTTCGGGTCAAGTGAACCCGCCAAACAAAGACTTGCGCTACTGTCTGTACTGTAAACTAATGGAACTGCCTTTTTACCCATTCCTTTTCCACTGTATAACGAAACTCCGGTAATCTTTTTCCCGTTACCCAAAGTAGCAAAAGCAGGGAAATCACGATCTATGGTACCGGCACCAACGGTCATGATCCAGGGAGCTGTATTTGCAAGTGAACCTTTAGCTGGACCGCTATTTCCAGCTGAACAAGAAACAACAATTCCTTTTTCCATAGCAGAGAAAGCACCAATAGCAATTGTATCACGATAATAAGGACCCGATCCACCACCCAAAGATAATGAAAGTACATCAACTCCATCTAAAATAGCACGTTCCATACCAGCTAGAATATCAGAACCAAAACAACCAGTAGGCCAGCACACCTTGTACGTAGCTACACGCGCTCGTGGTGCCATACCACGCGCGACACCACTAGCGTACCCGAGAAGGCTAGCGTTCGCCACCGGTGCACCAGCGGCGGTGCTGGATGTGTGGGTCCCATGACCGTCTTGGTCACGAGGTGACTCCGGCTGTCTAGGTTGGTTCGTGAACGAGCCAGAGGCCGACATTTGATAACCTTTGGAGAAAAAACGAGCACCTATCAGCTTTTTGTTGCAATGTACTTTCGGATCGAAATCGGGACCCGATTCACATTCACCCTTCCACCTCGACGGCACATCGGGCATACCGAAATCGTTATAGCTCTTCGACTCCGGCCAAACGCCGGTGTCGAGAACTCCAATAACGACATCCTGAGCAGCATTGTTGAGTTCCTGTGGACTGTGACCAGCCCAAAGACCGAGATCATTATTCAGCCCAAGAAACTCGGGAGTCCTTGTTGTATGAAGTGTGTAAACAGTATCCTCGTAAACTCCAACAACATCATCAGATTGACGGAGAAGTTCAGCTTCATGTGGGTCAAGAGAAGCAGCAAAGCCAGAATAAGCAGTGTCGTAAGAGTAAAGAAGGGATGATTCGTCAGAGGTAGTAGAAGAGGACAAAGATTGGAGCTGAGCATTGTACCAATCATGGTGTGTAGCAAAAGAAGAAGGTATTTGGTGATTTTTCATGTGAACAATGTAAACTTTCTTGGCTAAACATGGCTGAAGAACAAGGAGAGCAACAATGACGGAGAAACAGAGAAAAGAACCCATTTGGAAAAATGGGGAAAATGGGAGATGATTTTAATGGTGTTTTTGTTTATAGGGAAAATATCTCAGTGAGGAAAAAGAGAAAGGAAGAATGGAAAGGAGGAGACAGTCGCCGTGAAATGCGACTGACAGAAGAAGATAGAAAGAAGTATGGAGGACTAATGTCGGGTTTATATTACCAGTAGGGTTATTATTAAGGCTTGGAGTTTTCTCTTTTTACAACAATGCCACAATCGGAGGTGGATTTTTGACCGCCGTGGTTAAATATGAGTTATTAATGCGATTCACATTTTCACCCCACTAGTGCCGCTGTTAAAAAAAAATTCACCATTGAACCTAGCCAATCTCTTTTTCTGATATAAAAATAATAATAATAATAATAAAGTAAAATATAAAAAAATCTCTTTTTCTGATATAGCTCATCTATCCCAAAATATTCCTATATAATAGTAGTACATTTTACTAGGAGGATAAAAAATATATCTATAATTTTTTGTGTAATTTTGGTAATTTATTTATATACTAGTCCGGAAAAAATGTTGAAACAAATTATATATTAAATTTTTATAACCAAATTTACTTGAAAAACTAGTATATTGTCTTGCGAATGCATGCTTTGATGATAGTATACATTGCCTAATTTTTAATACAATTAGAAGAAATAAAGATATTCTGTTTTTTTATTATCTCAAAGGGGTTAATTATGATGTGTAATTGTGTATAGTGATAAAAGTGATGTAATTACTTTCTTGAGCTACTTATTTATTTCTTGAAGCCAGGTAGCTTTGTGGAAAGGAAAATTAAAAGTTACTCCCTCCGGTTCAAAATAAGTAATTGTTTAGTTGTTTTCACACAGATTAAGAAATCCACCTTTTAGCATTAATTAACAATGAAATTGACCGTATTGACCTTTGCTATCTTTTCACATAAATACTTCTAACACATACTCCAACACTATTTACTCCAAGGGCAATGTAGGAAAAAAATAATAAATTCATTCTTGAAATCTGAAAAAATTACTTATTTTGGACCACAAAAAAAAGCCAAAAAATTACTTATTTTGGACCTGAAGGAGTACTTACTTTACTTCAAACTCAAATAGCACCTCCTAGCTTTCTTCTTTACACTTATTGTCTTTTGCATCTATTTATAATATACAATTAAACTTCTCTATAACATATTTGTTTATTTCGAACATTTTTTAATTATTATAAAGGTCGGCTATTGTGGAACGGTTTGACTGTATTTGTCAAATTCATTAAAAATATTTGCTAATATTGTGATTAATAGTCTCATATCACTAAAATAATTCATTAGTTTTCTAGGATCACATCATTAGAAATTAAAGATCTTATCTTTAAGAATGTGATTACCAAATTGCAAACAACCATCTTTTTTTTTTTTTAACTTTTCATTAAAAGAATGTTGCATAAAATACAACAAGGTGTGGCACATTCATAATCATACTCAGGAGATAAAGAACTCTACATCATTGCATGTTTCACATAAAGATCACTAATTACCCTCACTTCTTCCTTTATTTTGACCATACAATAAAATAAAAAAAGTGAAACAGTATATATATAGGTATACAAATTATTCTTTGGCTTTCCAAGATTATGAACTATATTCTTTTACTTTGTTTGGTTTTTTTCACTTTCTTTTGTCCTCTTTGAATAAAGGGTTAGGTTAGAAACATTGCATTATCACTTATAAATGGTCTATCTACTAAGCTTTGATTTCTAGGGCACATAAAGGTAGTTGAATTTGAAACACATTTATTTTCCATCTTATAATTATGTGTTTTGGATACAATGAGGGAGTAGAAAGTTATGAGTTTAATAAAGATGTTAAATCATGATTTGTACCACCATAAATTGCCTTTTCTATTATTTTTATTTGGGATATGCGGACGACTATTATAGTTAATCGTTCATTTTATTTAATATTTCTATTATAATTGTATAAAAGGACTTTATTTGTTAGTTAATTAGAGAGGAAATTTTTATTAGTGGTAAAATCATGACTCTTCTTAATAAAATAAGGTATATGAATCTTGATAAGATGGAGATTAGATATCTTGTAAACAAGAAGAAATGATAGAAATTCGTGTTACAAATTATTTAGTGAAATCCAAACCCTAACCATAGTCCATTCTCAATTACCAAAGGAAATTATAAAGGGACAAGAAAATATGGCCAAAGCTTTTAGGAAGAAAAAAAAGTGTTTTGAAAAAATTAGCTTTTTTTTCAAAAGTATTTTTAAAATTTTAGCCAAACAAAAATTGCTATTTTAATATTGACAAATAGTATTTTTTAAAATTTTTTAACCAAACACATACTTCTATTTTTCAAAGTACTTTTTTCGAAATGCATTTGGGTAAAAAATATTTTTCAAAATAAGCAGATTTTGAAAGGTTGCCAAAAATGCTAGTATAAAGTAGAAAAGGTCCCGATCTACATAAAAATTTACTTGCATGGGATGTTTACACTGATCATAATCACTTATTATGATTAATTAATAAATTAAAGTAAAAAATATTAATTAATCGTAACTTACAGCTTGTTTGGATGGTTGTTACCTATTGTGTCATATCGTATTGTTACTTCAAATACGATGTTTGTTTTGGTTGTTACTTAAATTTATTGTATCGTATCGTTAGATCCGTCGTTACGTAACGGAGAAATATGTCACTTTATGTAACGACCGATTTGGTGTGGTTGCGTCGTTATCTTGTCTTTTTCTCTCATCTCACCGTTCATTATTATTAAATAATTTTATTTTATAATTTACCCTACCTTTTTATATAATAAATATACCCCATATTATAATTTTTTATATATAATATTGCAAGTTTATTCTTCATATTGCTGGTGCGCGATATCATGAAATAACAACAAACGATACAATCTATCAAGATGTTGTATTCATCAAACGATACAGTGCAATACAATATAATACAATACAATATAATACAATACATTATGAAACAGACGTGTAACAACCATCCAAACAAATTGTTAGTTATATTTGTGAAGACATGTATAATGTATTTAAGGATAGGAAAGTTGTTTAAGTCTCCAAAAAAAAGTGCCTCATAGGGACTAGAAAATGTAACGTTGCCCATAATTTGCGACATAAAAAGTAAATAGTGATAGAGACAGGACCATTTTATAAATAAGGAACTTTTACTAAAACAATTCAAAAAGAATTTTTTAGGCTGTTCAATTGATTACGGACAAAATTCTAAATTCCTCTAAATCTCCACTGAATTTCTTTATTGAGATTTCAGTACACTAATTTCGGTCTTTACAGCATTCTTGAGAAAATGACTACTCTGTTTCACGGATATTAATTGCAATTTGGATTAATTATTTTTTAAATTCTAATTTTCCAGTCTGTTAAGCAACGAAAAGTAAATAAAAAGGGTCAATTAGAGAAATTTGAAAGAGAAGTGCATTTAACATTATTAAAGATTGAGACCCCACATTTCATTTTTAGATCACACCTTAATAAATTCAACTGTATCTCTAAAATTTGTTTTTTCCTTCTTTCACATAAGGTTTATATAAGTGGAAATTGAGATTTATTGCTTTGCTAGAAATAGAAAAGAAGAAATCTATTGATGATTAATGAAATTATTTATTTAAAATTGAGGTTTACGTTGAATTCATTTTTAATAAATTTGAACATATTTATCGGATTAAAAAATATTAAAGACCTTCTCTGTTGTATTCTATCCAAAAATATCCAAAAGATATATACCACCAAAATTAATTAATCGATTTGGTTTTATTTATATTTTAGAAAATGAAAGTTCTCGAAATGTTGGCTTGTTATCAATTTAATAGAGAAAAATGGTGAGTAAGAATTTATATTAGCAATTATCAATTATTTGAAAATGAGACATAGTTATTTATATTACTTTAGGTGATTAAGAAAGAAAAAAGATAAAAAAAAAAAAAGATTGTGAGAATTAAACTTATACATATTGTGTTTGCTGATTCGATTGTATTTGTATACATGGAATTAATTTTTACCGTGGATGCGCGCATAAGTGGCCGTTTGGACATAAGAATTGTAAAATTCCAAAAAAAGTTTAAAAAAAATAAAATAAGTGAAAATGGTATTTGAAAATTGTCACGACCCCAATCCCGGACGTGATGGCGCCCAACACTAATGCTAGGCAAGCCCGACCAATTAAATACTCTCAACCCAAATACGCAATCCGTTAACAAATAATACGATTAAAATAGCAAATATCAAGGTTCCAATCCGAAACTAAATAAAATAGTACGGAAAATAATAACGAATATCTGAACATTCCCCAATAGATCTGGAGTCATGAGTCTAGAGCCTCTAGATGTAACAGAGTAATATATCCATAGTATAAGGAAGTCTAGGATATGGAAAGATAAATGAAATAAAGGGGAGGAGTCGGGTCCTGCGGACGTCAGGCAGCTACCTCAACAACTCCTGAAAATAAACTTCACGAAAACAGCAAACAGCTCCACTAAGTCTCCGGAGCACCTGAATCTGCACACATGGTGCAGGGAGTAAAGTGAGTACTTCCAACTCAGTGAGTAATAAACATATATAATGGCTGAAAGTAAGAAATCCCGAAATATTACAATATAAAGTTATAATCAGCTATTCAGAACATAAAACGGTGGGACAACAACAATACCAGGACAAGTAAGACAAATAGGTATAAATGCATGAATGTAATGCAATGCACATGACCGCTGCGGCGCGCAGCCCGGTCCATTTGGGTACCCGCGCTCACTGTGGGGGTTCAGACTCCGGAGGGGCTCCTACAGCCCAAGCGCAATATCATCGTAGCATTCGCTGCGGAGTGCAGTCCGATCCACACTCAGTCCAGATATATATATGCATGCAAGCCACTCGGGCACAGTCAAATTGTCCATTTTTAGTTTCAATTATTAGGAATTATAGAGCTAAGTGTGTAAACCTTTATTTATTTACTAACATTTCAAGGCAGTGTCTAACTCAGGACTGATATCATAAAATATGCTAAGTATCATGGAAGCAGTGATAAGGATCCCTGAAGGATGCAAATGCTAGGCACAAGGCCCGAAACATATTCATAAAAATCCAAGTAGGATGATTACCAAACAATTTCTAGTCAAAAAACACAGTAC